ACTTGACAAAAAAAGATAAAGCAAAAAAAAAGTATAACTGATAAAAATAAAGTTGGCACTTCCCATAATATGAGGTGGGGGGAGGGAGGGAAGCGCTGCTGCACAGCCTAAAATCAGCCTAATAGTTTTTATAAGCATCAATTAAAAGATGAAACACAATAATACATATGTTCATGTGTGTGAGGCCATTTTATGTTCTGTTCAGGTGTGGTTGTTTCAAAAATGGGTCTTCAGTGCTCACCATATAGTTGTTATGATAAAGGAATATTGAAGGCAATGCAATCCAAATTTCTTTAAAATGGGCTGGATCAGTGCCAGGGCTAAGAAGAATATGGGCTTCAAGTTCCACTGCTCAGAATGTTAAATTATCTTTTCTGTAAGTGGGTAGTTTCTTAATTTTTGTTTAAAAGCTAAAGAAACATGCACTTTGTAGAAGAAGAAGACGCAAACTAGATATAGTTCAGATTATGTAAAGTGGCCATGACCCGACAAATGCGCAGATGTCAAAAGTGCGCCGACAAAACCGCGGCGCTAAAACCGCGATGTCAAAAGTGCGCCGACAACAGCGCGCCGACAGAAGCGTGGCGACAGAAGCGCGATTTAAGTTAAGGTAAGGTTTAGGGTTAGGTTTAGGGTTAGGGTTACAGCGCTCATTCGTCGGCGCGCTTTTGTCGGCGTGCTTTTGTCACCGCGGTTTAGTCAGGTGCGCTTTTGTCGTTTGCGCATTTGTGGGTGAACCAAAGTGGCTACATAAAGTCTACAAGGAAGTGGTGAATTGGAAAATAAATTCTGCTTTAAACCAGAAAAACTAGTTGCAAAATTTTAAGACAATAACCAATATTACTGGGAATAAAAAGCAAGCAGATGAAGTGAAGTTTTTCAGCTTCTTTCCCAATGATATAATTTAACAAATTGAATGTAGTTTAAAAGTTGCTAGTTCTCAGATTCCCTTCTCCGTTAACATGAAACTGAAGTTAGGAGTTTTTAAAAAAAATGTTGCACCATTCACAGTGAGGAAAGAGGATTACTTATGTGATCATTGTCAATATTTATTAACTCCTTTGCATGTCCACAACTACATAAGTTGCCAATTTGCCATACTAATGAAATCTTAGTTTTCTCAATGTTTGAGGAATAGACAAGGACATATGTTTCTACTGAAGCTTATAGACCGTTGTTTACTTACTCTTGGGCTTGGCATGCTTTCAACTAGGTGAAACTACAAAAAAGTTTGGCTTAGTGCAATACATGAACCAGAACCTCCCACTCTTCAGAAGAGTTCTAAAGGAAGTTAGATGGGGAATATAGTACAGGATTACTTCTGATCCTCTCCATCAACATGAGGCTGCCAGGATAAAGGGAAATTGGTCACAGTAAATAGTTTATGTTTGCAATTCTATAATGTGAGAAGAAAGTTGATAACAAATCTTCATATGCATCTTCGTTGGAGTTGCACATTAAATCAAATCAAACTATGTATGATTATTAGTAGTGGTCGGTTCCGGATCTCGGTGTAAACGGGCCCCGGCATCCACCACATGAATGCGCGCAACGTGCACATGCGTACTTACCACCTGCAACGCTCCGTGACACCTCTGCGATGCTCCAGCTGCTTGGCGGAGCATCGCACAGGTGCCATATGCTCCATGCACATGCGCAGAAGCCCTGAAGAACTCTAATACCGGTAAGGAGCGTGGGTGGGTGGGTGGCCCCTCCATAGAACTGTACTGGAATGGTATCCGGTGCTCCGGGCAGGCCCAGAAAATTGGGGCTTACTCAAATAAGTTTGGCAAAGCAAATCACGACACAGTGAAATATTGTATATAAATCCAATTTGTATTGCTTTACTGCATACCTCACTTACTGACAATCATTCAGTGACTATTCAAAGTTATAACACCTGCTCTTGTTTACTTATATCTTACCATAGACTTTAGTAAATGGAAAACAGTGGAAAACTGGTCCTGCAAAAACAATCCAATTTATTACTGCATATTATTACATAACATTGGCAGCAAATAAAAATATTCAGTTTGAAGAATGGATGCAGATTGGGGTTTAAACATCCAGTTACATTGGTGATACAATGGTTAGAATGCAGTATTTCAGGCTAACTCTGCCTACAGTCAGGACTTTGATCCTTACCAGCTCATTATTGACGCAGGCTTCAATCCTTTTGAGGTTGATAAAACAAGGATCAGATTGTTGAGGACAATATACTGACATTTGTAGACTGCTCAGAGAATGCTATAAAGCACTATGAGGGGGTATGTAAGTCTAAGTGGTATTGCTATATTTTATATAGAGAAGGTGAAATCATTACTTTAACCAAGCACAAAGAAGCAAGTGTTAAATCCTAACACTAATTCTTTATGAGACTTTAACATTTCAGAAATAGTGCTACCTGAAGCATCTGTTTCTGTGCTTCACTTTTCCTGAAATTCCCAGCTTCTTGGAAACTCCAAATCATGGAACTTCAAACTTCAGAAAACTCCAAAACTTTGAGGGAGCAATATAAAACTCGTGGCAACTTTGCTCTTTGCCTTTAAAAAACCAGATTCATCTTTTTTCATAAGAGGAAGGAGTATCATCCCTTCTGTATGTGACAGATAAAATCTCTACCTCATGAAGATGGTGGATTGGTATCATCCCTCCAAGGTAGACCATATTAAAAAAACCTTGGTAGCAGCTCTTCTTCTTGTCCTTCAAGGCCACTGCCTATGTTCTCTACATTTGGAAATGTCTGAGCCAGATGCTTGAAACTAAAAAGCAGACTATTAAATTCCTAACAGCCTTCTTTTTGAAAGAAGGAGATATAATTAAAAGATTTGTAATAACTATAATCTATATTTTGACTTCATAACTACATGGGTATTTCTGAACTGTCTTCTACTGCTAAAAATGATTTCTAATCAAAAAGATTCTTTAATCTTTTCCAATGTAAGTCAGGGCCCAAAGGTATTTCTTTCATAAGAAAATTGTGCTACTTACAAGATTGCCTTTGTTTTCTTTTGTTTTTTTTATGTAGTAATCATGGCTTCTAATCCAAGTGTATTGTTGCGTCTTGTGGCCTCAGCATATTCTGTGGCTAATAAAGCGGGAACCATTGTCAGAAAAGTTATGTCTGGAGGAGAACTGGACATAGTGGAGAAGGTAAATGATCAGTAGCATCCTATGTGTTTCCAGTTGGAACTTATGTATCCAAATAAAGAAGAATTAATTGCTGCTGGTATAACGTGCAGAACAAATTTTGTGGGTCTGTGCTCAAAAGTAAGGCTTGTAGTGTTTAGTAAGGCTTGCCGAGTAATAAGGGTGTTTAGCATTGTAGCCTCATTTATTTTAGATGTAGGCACAAATAATTTGGTGCAAGCAAGTATCCTTCTGGATTCACTCTTTGAAATAATGATTGCTCAAAGTGTCAGTACAACTTAGTCTTTGCATGCCCAGACAACATCTGCTGGAATAGCCATTAAAAAGGCTCATCAAATATTTTATAATTCTATCATCAATATTAATCATTTAGAGACATCTCATTTGCTGACATGCTATATATAAAGTTATATAGCTCTTGAAATAATCTATAATATGTCTGTGATTTTGTCTTCCTGTTTCCCAGTTACTTTGAATAGTCTTTATGAGA